CACACACACACACACACACACACACACACACACACACACACACACACACACACACACACACACACACACACAAAGAAAAAACAGGAGAGTTGAGCTACTCACCATCTGCTCACCTTCTTTAGACTCCAAAGAGAAGAAGAAGAAAGAAAATGTTCATTTCTTCATCTGCACTTAAAGTAACTGCTTTCTGAAAAAGGATGTTGAACTTTTAAAAAGTGAAGAACTTTTTTACTCTGACTGGCTGCTCTGAAGGACACCAAGCTGTCACAGATAAGAAGCAGTTTCATTCTGTAGCAGATGTCAAAGGCTGTACAGGACTTCATCAGACAGGGCTCCGCATCCCCCTCCTCCTCTTCATCACTGTCACTTGTTCTGTCAGTGACAGGCTGAGACCTCCGTTTAACAGCTGCCCGTCGAGCCGACTGAGCAGAGATGTGTGGAGGAAAGAGTGATGAAGGGCTGGGGAAGTCACATGACTGGTGATAGTGCGTGTAGCAGGGAGCTGGACTGACTCTACTTGTGCTGTTATCCTGATCTCATCTGATACTGCAAAATATCACACTCAGAGTGAGTGTTGCAGGGGCTGAGAAACACTTTCAGCTCCGTGTCCAATTTTAGCTGAATGTTTGTCAAACCAGCAGAGTTTGTCATTTTTATATTGTTACTCAGTTGTAGATGTACATTGTGTTATTACCTTCTTCATGTTTCATTAAAATTGGGTTCACATAATATTTTGGTAACCATCTTGGTGGGGCTGCACTCACCTGATCAATTTCTCCTTTACATATTTTCAAAACTCTTTTCATTCCAGGCATTTTGAGAGCCCTCCCTGAAGTGGGTCCTGAGAAAAGTTCCCTCTCCCCCCCCCACAAACCTCCAGTCCTACATGTTGAGACACAGGCAGAAACGTGGTCTGCCTTTGCTTTTTTGGTGTCGTGTGATAATAAATTCTTTAAAAAATGAAAACCAGTAAAGTCATCAGAGGTCATTTTTTTAACTACTGGCATTTAAATTAAATTTGGTTGTCTTGAAGAGTGGAGTAAGTGTTACAGTGTAAACTATGGTAACAGCTATCTGTAAAGTTTACAGTAGTGCCAAATCAAATTAAATAGTTTATCTTTGATATTATTTTTTACCTTCAGAAAACAGGTTGTCCAAATAAAACAGTTAACAATATAATTCATTTGAAACAGATTAGAAGTCTACCTCATACCTGCCAACATCTGCTGACATCATCAGGAACACTTGTTCATGTTAACCAGCAGCTGTGGACTGAAGCAATTCTAGGGGGTCCAGGTGTATACTCCCCTGGAAAATTTAGTAAAATGTCTACTCAAAACTGCATTTTACAGCCATTTGAACATAGCGTTATAAAATTTTGGGGATTAATAAAACATGATAAAAGCAATATTTTATGAAGGTAGAACAATGAAAACCAGACTTTAACCTGGACTTTATCTGAGATCAGAACTGAAACTTTTAATATCCTTATATTATTTTCTCTTCACACACTGAGCACCAGTAGTTAGCATTAACTGCAAAAACCCACAGAACAAGCTACTTTCATAAACCTGATAACTTCTACAGACTAAACAAAATATACTCTGATAAAAAGTGATAAAATATTTTTTATCCCCCATTTGTGGTGCCCCCTAGATGGACGGCACCCTAGCATTTGCCTATTCTGCCTCTGCTATGGTGCGCCCTGCTAAAAAAGATCAAAGATGATGGATAGTCCAGTAAGTGAACAACATCTGATATGTACACAAAGTGTAACACAGATGCCTTTTTTTGTAATAAATGAAAATGATTAAATAGAAACAAACAGTCTCTTCTGCACAGCGGCAGTCTGAATATATGTTGATCTTTCATGGCTGCACTTATTAATTTCATCTTTGTACATAAATTGGTCTCCGGTCAAACATTTGTTCTAGTTATTTCTTTACTTTTAAAAATATTCATTGTTTCCAAATTCTTAACTATAGTCATGGGAAAATTCAATTCAAAAATACTTTATTGATCCCAGAGGGAAATTTGGAGCACTCGGAGAGTGCAAACCTTCGCTAAGACCAATTTTCCCCATCCTGTAAGAGTTAATGTGCAAAAGCAGAGATGGAAACACATTTGCCGAATAACTTCTGACATAGCGAACATTTAAGCAGGTAGTATGCACGGAATTTCTTCTCGGTGGAGTCCAATGTGAAAAAAAAAAGTTAGACTCGTCACCCGACATTATTCATCGTCAAACTGGTGTCGGATTAAGCTCCTAAGTTTTCATCGGTCACATTTCACCATGTAAAATGTGCAGATACTCGTTCACGGCTGCCAGCGCCATCTTTGTTATGTCGTGGCCTGTACTCAAATGAAAAGCCTTTCTGGTCCCATTCTGTGGCTGAAACTCGGGCACCATTGCCCTACCTTATCGACATCCTAAAACGAGATGTCGGGACCGCGGTCACGGTGAATGACTTCTAGCCCACATAATGTCTCCTCAAAATGAGAAACAAGACGGAAAAACAACATTTCCCTCAGCAGTTAAACATATTTTAACCTGCCTGAAACTCACCATAGATAACACAGCTGTCATCCAGGCTACATAAAAACAGAAAACCTGAGCTCCATGCTTTTAAACTCAATGTGGAATGAAACGTTCCCACACCTAACTCAGCTAGCGTCATTACAGCCCCAGAAAGACCAGATCAGCATCTAAAATTTATAATTTCAATGTGTGCAGGCTGAAATATTAGCCGCAGCTGTTTAGCATAACGTGCTAATAAAAATATTAGCTCACCGTGTTTCCGTCGACAGTTCAGGTTCTTTACAGCTCAAGTCTCGGAACGCCACTCACAGCGGTCGGCCACATGACAGACCCACAAAAACCCGGAGACGAAAACAGTAGTCTCCGCCGCCTCCATGGTCCCTGGAACGTCCCAGCCAGACAGCCGGTCGCTGCGGGCACGCTCCGGTCCTCGAAGCCCCATAATGACAACGCCAAAATTGTGGTGGCAAAAGCAGAAACACGTTGTAATAATACGATAAAAGTCTGCGTATGTGATAATCAAATATGATTTAATTGTGAGCAACAATCAGAAACAGAACTTAATCATGAAGGTTCCGCCCGCTTGCCACTGAAAGCGTCAGCAGAACACAGCCAATAATATACATCATGCCAAACCATGTGTCAGTTTACAACCAATCACAGATCGCCAAATGTACTGTTCCGCCAATCACAAGGCTCCCACCAGTCCATCATGGAGTCCCGTTGTCCAGACAACGAGAGCGTAACGAGCTATCAGAAAGATGCAGGATGAACAGTGTCAAGGGAAAACAGATAAATAATTAGTCCATGACATAAAACATCTGTTTTATCCCCTTGTATGAGTTTGTAATGGTTTGACTCTCTTTATAAAGTGCTTCTTGGCTCCCCCCATCTCCAAACTTTGAGGCCCGGCAGCTCTCTGTTTACAAGCCTAGTAGCGAGAAACTGTTTTGATTGGTTGTTTCGGAAATGTGGTGTGTTTGAAGAAATGGGAAAAATAGGTTTCATGGTGGAGTCACGCACTTCCTGGTCACAAAACGCTCTGTAAATGCGCATATTATGGCAAAAAATTATTCATCATTAAATGTGGTTTTAACATTACTTTTATAAAGTTTGAAGTCCGTGCTGTCCAATCCAGCTCACAGTTTTTTACAGAAGCCCTGTGAAAGCATCACAGCTTTGCCATGTCAGAGTGTTAAAAGAAAAAAATTCCTGTATCCGCATCGTGATCCGGAACATCACCAAAATTTAAAGGTGTGTTCCTTGGCCCAGTACCCACATGTGGTAAACATGTCATGACAATCCGTCCACAAGTTTTTGTGTAATGTTGTCCAAAGACAGAAAGACAGAACGACAGACATACGCGACCGAAAATATTACCTCGCCCTTGCCGGAGGTAAAAACAACATGGTGGAACCTGTTCAGTGTATTTGTTCATTTGAGGTCAGATTTGTATCATTTTTGAATGCAACCAGTTCAATATGTTCTAATTTGTAAAACACTTGAGGTGTTTTAGACACTTTTTGTACAATTTCATGCTTCATAAATTGACATTTTTAAAACTTTGTTGGTTTACGCTTGTCCTCAAACACGAAGTTAATATCTCACAGATCTATCACCCTCATCACAGAAAACAAGACCGTTCCTCCTGAGCGCTGTTTGAGACATTTGTGCTTACTGATATTCAGACATGATTAGATGTGTTTGGTTTTGTTGTGGACCTGTCCCTGCAGACGGCAGCAGGAACAGTTCAGCTGCAGCACTGAAGGGCAACAATAAGGACGCTGCTGGCAGGAAGGAGGGGAGAAAAAGAAAATCAGCAAAATGAAACCAAACTGCAGAGCGCAGCAGAAGAGCACACGGCTTGCACAGAGGCTGCTTTATGTTAGAGAGTAATTCCTCCAAAAATTAATGGGATGTAAAAAGCAGGACTCAACAGGAACACAAGTGCTGTGTCAGTTTTCCCCTCTAAAGCCTGCCTTCTCACTCTGAGCACAAGTCAAGTTCAAAACCCTGCTGGAAGACCGTTATCCCTGTTCCTGAGACAACAACGACCGAACTGTAACTCTGACCTCTGCTATAATGAAGCGCTTTAAACAGTTTGTCATCGGTCAGGTTAAAACCGCCTTGTCTTCTCTGGAAACTCAGTTTGCTTATCAACTTGTCTACGTCTGACACAATCACAAACACTTTAGTTAAAGGGGAAGTGTTGTGTATTTCCCAGGCAATTCTATATCACAAAAACAACACAGGGCAATTCAGTTAAATTGCTCAAAGGGCCACAGTTACTCAAAGCCAACAGAGTCCAACTCTGCGGACTCCTTTAAAGCTCACTTAAAAACTTACCTTTTTAAATCTGCATTTGTTTAAATTTGCTCTGTCTATTTTTATTTTATTTTATTTTATTTGTGTTTGTTGAAGCACTTTGTGATCCCTATCTTGAAATGTGCTTTATAAATAAAGTTTTACTTACTTACTATAGCAAGCCATGTGTGCAAAATAATTCATAATTTTCAGAAACAAAGTACGGTACTGTTGCAAACAAACAGATTTCAGGGAGAGTGAAACAGAAAATGTCCTCAAATCTTTGAATCACCAACTAAATGACAATTTAGCCAGATATTGGCTTTATGGAGTTCCTACCAGAAATAAAGTACTCATGTTTATGTTAAAATGTAACACATTCACACTGAGTGCAGGAGTCCTTCAGGGATGTGTGCTTGGTCCTTTCCTCTTCACTCTGCCGACACAAGACTGTCTGATAAATTTCATGTTGACTGTAAAAGTGATGGCCAACGTGAAGTTTTCATCAAATCATTATCAACATTAATGTTATAATAACTTAAAGGGATCCCCGATTAGTTGTGACATTAGACTTTATTTGATAAACATTTATTTTAACTGTAAAATAAAGACTGTAAAAATACTGTAGGCTGTTTTTGTAAATTTTTAAAAATATATTTTAACATGGACGGAGCCATTTTATTTACACACAAAGCATTTTGGGTAAATGATGACGTGGATAGGTCCTCTGTGTGAGCGAGCTATATCCACCCTGAAGGTTAATCTTGGACAATATCTGATGATCGACTCTTTTAAATGAAACCAGAGAGCGTTGACAGAGAGGAGAAGGTAGAAATGACTCAGCCTGTAACTGAAAATATGGATGGAGGACAACAGARCTGCTTCATGGAAGAAGAACCTCACCTTAGCCTGTTAGCTTTAGTGTTAGCGCCGATGCTATATGGCCTTATGTATTAGCTCAACGCTAGCGCAACAAACAAGCTAAACTGAGGCCTTCCATCCATATTTTCAGTTGCAGACTGAGTCATTTTGCGTTTCCCTCTCTGTCATGTGGATGGAGGACCTCAGTGACGAGAGGAGAATGTGTAGCGCTGAGCTAATACATATATATGGTGAGAGCATC